TTTTTTTTGGTTTTTTTTTGTATTTTAGGGAAGGGTCTACAGAGTGTTCAGGGTCTCACTACTAGATCAGACTTGTAATGATCTGCCTGTTTACAGCCTCCCAAGAGCTGGGCTCATAGGCACATGCCCCCATGCCCAGCCCCAGCTCACCGTGCCCCTGGGGAGGGGCCAGTACGCCTGCTTGAAGGCACTTTAATCTGCTGAACTATTTGGCCGGCCCAGCAGCTATATTTGTGATCTTATTAGTTGGCTATAGTTTTTGTCCCACCTTGAACTTGCCTCATCTAATTGTTTTGCTCAATAAAACACCCTTGAGAAGTGGGATTAGTGAACAACCCATTTTCCTGGCCGCCTTCTGCTCCTTTAGAAGCTTTTCTTTCTTTTAGTAAGTTCTTCCTACCCTTAACTTCCTTTGTTCCTAGAATTCATTCCTCAATTTTAGAGAACATGAATTTGGTATTTTGTACATCTAGCAGGCTGGGAATTTCTTTCCCCTACGTCACAGTTTTGAGGAAAAGGTTTATCTCGGAGTTGATTTTGGTTTTATTTAACAAATGCACCCTTAGGCAGAGAATGTAGAAAATAAAGGCTCCCTGGCCCAAGAACTCAGCCTGTATAAACTCTGATGCCATAGATAGGAAGTGACATACACTCAACGAGAGTTCTGGAAAATGCAGCCAACTCAGCCTGGGTTCCTTGAATTTCCTGGAGTTGGTGACAATAGCCTGAGGTCCACAGGGCCAATAACCATCCCTCTCGCCAGGCAACTCATTCCAAATATGGAGAAGTGTGACCCATAATAAGTCGTCTCATAGAAAACCAATAGATTGTTACATCACCTATATCCGATGACTCATTTTTTCCCCTGATTTGAGCCCAAGGATAAAAAGGAGAAAATGAAATTTCACTGTTGTTTTGATAGGTAAATCTGTAGATAAGGTACCTCCTGAAAGGTGTTACAAATTAAAGTGAATATTTTTCAGTTTTTTTTTTAATTTTTTTTAATTATTTATTTATTTTTATTACATTTATTTATTGTGTGTGTGTGTGGCCAGCTCAGCCCACCAGGGGGCAGGGCTGGCTGGCATGTGGTGCTGGGGGATTGAACCGCGGTCCCTGTGCTTTGCCAAGCTTGTTTCAAGTAGGTGCTTTAGACCACTGAGCCATCTCTCCAGCCCTATTTTTCAGTTTTATATTGCCTTAGCAGCCATGTTGTTTGGCATTAGCTGTAGATTTAGAGATGGACTGTCGAGTTCATCAATATCATTTTATATGGTTTTGGGGGAAAAATCATTTCATAATTCAGTCATGATTAGGGCTGCTCTGGGAGTCAGCTATGCTATATGGAAACAACTCCCATGTTCCTCTAGTCACCATATGATGCTGTGACACCTTAGAGCAAGATTAGTCAGCTGAAGACATCCTGGCTCCTTGAGAATTGAGTAGTAATTAAAAAAATTACTTGGGAAAGGACAAACTCTTTGTTCATCTGCATAAAGATCCTCATTAGCATAAGATCACCAGGGACCTGTGAGTCATCCCATAATCCCCTTGCCATTTTCCTCTGGTACATGTAATCAAGAAATACCAGGTGTGCTGGCTCCTTGTGGCCTTTTGTTCCTTGTGAACAATTGGTCATCCCACATCCTTGTTGCAGCGTCCTTTTGTGCTTTTTTTTTTCTTTTCAGTACTGGGGATTGAACTCAGGACCTTGTGCTTGCCAGGCAGTACTTAAGCCCCTGAGCTATGTCCCTGGACCTTCAGCGTCATTTTATCTCACTCTTTTTATTGTGTGCAGTAACACCTCACAGGAGATTGGGGTCCACTGCAAGGGGGTCTGATAATGGAGTAACTTAAAAATTGTTCAAACAAAATGAAAGCATTCAATTCGATGTACAAATCAAAATTAAAATACCAGGTTGTCATGTCCCCCATATTTGATTCTTTCCTAAGAAGAAATTGTGTACATTTGTTGTAATCATCAACAGGCCTAATGTTATGATTTATATCCAGATATCTCCCAAAATTTCATGTGTTCATTGGTGGGGTTTGGGGGAGGTGATTAGATCCTGGTGGCATGTACCCAGCACTGGATTAGTCCACTGATTCTGTAGCTGGGTAAAGCCTGGTAGAAGGTGGATTGCTGTGGCACAGCCTGGAAGGGTATATGTTCTTCCTCCCTTGATACCTCGCCCTCTCTCCCACCCACCCTCTGCTTTCTGCCTGCTATGCTTTGGACTGTTTTTCCTCTGCCATACCTCTTGGCCTTGCTACCCTGCCTTTGAACCAACCTCTACAAACTGTGAATGCACCTTTCCTTCCTTAAATTGTAGATGTTGGGTATTTTCTCAACAAAGATAGAGTAACTAAGATAACTATACATATTTCCCCTTCCTAATGTAACCCTATGAGCTATTGTGTATTTATTCAATGCTTTTAAAAAAAAATTCTACTGATCAGGTGTGGTGGCACAGTACCTGTAGTCCCAGCACTCTTTGGGGTGAGGAAGGAAGATTCCAGCCCAGCCTGGGCAATTTAGCAAGACACTGTCTCAAAATAAAAAATTAAAAAATGATGGAGAATGTAGCTCATTGTGAAGGTCCTAGGTTCAATCCACAGTTTCCACAATAAATAAGTGAGTAAATGCATGAACAAATAAATAACATAAAAATCCACTACCATACAAATTTGATAGACAGTTGCATTATATATTAGGGCTACATAAGAAAATATCACAAACCATGGGATGCATCTGTTCTGCAAATCGCAGTGTATTCTAAACAACAGATGATTGTTTTTTCACAGTGTGGGAGGCTGGCAGTTCAAGACTAAGCTTGGTCACTGTCACTAGGCTTGGCTGCTTCTGAGACCTGTCTCCTTGGCATAGAGGTAGGCCACCTGACCTTGTATTCTCACGTGGCATTTTTTTCTGCAGTAGTGAAATCCTTGGTGTCTTCTCCCTTTATAAGGACCTTGGCTGTATCCTAATTCCTACCCCCAAATACCTGAGGGTTTTAATGTTTAAATTTTGAGGGAATATGATTCATTTTGTAATGCATCTAAACTGTGTATTTTAAGTTACAGTAATATGATCCATCTAAAAGAGACTGATAAAAAGAGCAATTTATTTTATTTTATTTTATTTTATTTTATTTTATTTTATTTTATTTTTTGGTACTGGGGATTGAACTCAAGACCCTGCGCTTGCCAGGCAGGAGCTTATTCTACGGAGCTATCTCCGTAGCCCCAAAGAGCAACATTTATTTACTTACTTTTTTTGTTTTTGGAGACAAGTTTACTCTGTAGCCCAGGCTGGACTTGAATTCAAGGAAATCTTCCTGCCTGAGCCTCCTGAGTACTGGTACTACAAGCATGCATCACCATGTCTAAATTCTGATTATTATGAGCTTGTGTAATTTTAACTTGAGTTAAAATATAAAAATAAATTTTGTTACATATACATTAATTTTATATATATATAAAGATAATTTATTTTTACTTAGTGTAGCTCACTTACACTAAAGTTTAGACGCTTATGTTTTAGATACTTAGATTTAAAGATATGAAAATAAAATATATACAAATTTATGGGAAAAATAGATTGAAGCAAGGCTGCAGATGTAGTTCAGTGGTAAAGCACTTGCCTATTATGTGTGAGACCCTGACTATAAAAAAAAAAAAAAACAAATTGAAACAGAATAAATGATATTGAGGCACAGGAGCTGAGGGAGAGGAATATACCATAATTTTTTCTTGGCATAAAGAATTATATAATTATGTTTACACATAAGTCCAGAAATCTAGCCATATACAACCTTGTAGCAGGACAGTCCCGCACATTCCTTTTCCTGTCTCCTGCCTTCATTCACCACACCCTTCTTTTTGAACAATCATCTACCTGAGAGACAGCATGGCAGCAA